CCATGGGGCGCATCGACGACCTCACGGACGAATGGGCTAAGATATGGAGCCCCAAGCCCAGTATGAAGGACCTTCCTGATCCCATCGGCCTCCTCGCAGAGAAGATCTCCGAGTCCTCGGAGGAGCCCTTGGTCTTGGCCACGCCCGATCAGATCCGAAAGTGCTCCAGGACGTTCAAGGCTAGGACGGCGATTGGCGCTGATAGGACACACCCCAAGGATTTCGAGATCCTCAGCGACGGGGCTCTGGAGTGTGTGGCCGCCCTCTGGTTTTGGATGGAGTCTCTCGGCAAGCTTCCCGAGGTCCTTGCCACGATTATCATAGCTATGATCCCCAAGGATGAGGAAGGAGGAGTTCGGCCTATTGGAATCCTGTCTGGGTGCGTCAGGTGCAATGGGAAATACTCTCGAGTGCAGGCTGACCGTTGGGAACGGGCCCGTGACAGGCCTTACCACTTTGGAAGCAGGGGGCGTTCGTGCGAGAGAGCTGTTTGGGAGCAGGCTTTTAGGATGGAGCACGCGTACGTTTTTGGGCACGCTGCTGCTTCCGTTTTGGTCGACATGACCAAGTGCTATGAGAAGGTGGTTCATTTCTTCTTGGCCTCTGCGGCCATCGAGCATGGCTTCCCCTTGCACCGCCTGCGCTACCTCCTCTGCTTGTACAGGGGCCAGAGGGTCTTGCAGGTGGGCAGGGTCTGCTCTGAGTTTGTCGCCTGCGTCCAGGCGATCTTGGCAGGTTGTACTTTCGCCACCACCCTGCTAAAGTGCCTCCTTCTCGACCCGCTAGACTATGTGGTATCGAATTTCCCTGCGGTTCGTGTATACAATGTTGTTGACGATATTACGTGTGGTGCTACAGGTAAGGCTAGGGCGGTGGCGAGTACGGCGGCCGATGCTACTTTTGCGCTGTGCAGCAACCTGGAGAAACTTGGTTTCCTGATCTCTCCCACGAAAGGCCTCATCACGGCGACGTCTCGGGATATTGAGTTTCGAGTTAAAACGCGGCTTATGCGCTGGAGATTCCAAGTGGTAAAGTCAGCTCGGAACCTAGGGGTTGACTACACTGCTGGTCGGCGCAGAACTCCAGTCCAGGGATCGAGATGGGAGAGTTTGGGGCCCCGAGTTCGCCGATTTAGGGGCCTCCGCTCTGGCTACTCGGGCTTGTGCAAGGTCGTGAAGACAGGTGGATTGCCAGCAGCTTTTTATGGCACTGCGGTCATTGGCATGAACACCTCCACGGTCATGAAGCTGCGTTCTATCATAGGTCAGGCTTCGTTCGGCAAGGGAAGGGGCCGTTCCAGGACCCTGCAGTTTTTATTGGGCCCGACGAAGGGCTTGGACCCTGTGTTCCAGGCCAACCTCCTGCCACTTAAGATGTGGCAACAAGCTGTGAAACAGAAATGGGTCCCCGAGCATATCATGAGGGCCTGCGTGCAGGCCTACCCGAAGGCGGCCTCCAGGACTTGGGGCAAGGTTCGGGGACCTGCTGGAGCTGCATGGGCTACTCTGGATCGTTTGGGCTGGAGGTTTATTGCTTGGGACACTTAGGAGTCTTGCCGTGGCTTCCTATTGGATCTCAACCACTTCGGGAAGCGCACCCTCACTAAGTTGATTGACTACAGTACACACATGAGGCTCCTGGAGCACGTTGGGGCCCCTGATCCCGAAGATCCTGAGCGTGTGGTTCCCCCCCTCCTGGGGCCCATCATGGATACCCTCAGGGGCCTCAGGAAAGCGGGGAGAAACTCAGCTGCTGCCTTTTTGTGTAATGTAGTCGCAGGAGGTCATCCCACTCAGGAGGTTTTATTCCAGGATAGGCGAGCCATCACGCCGCTGTGCAGGGTCTGCGGCACGTATAACGGCACGCCTCAGCACCGTTTATTCCAGTGCGACGGTTTCTTTATGTTTAGGCGGGACATAGACCTGCCACAGTGCGTGGACAGAGGTATGCAGCTGGGCGCCTACGATCTATTATCGACGAGGGCGCTCTGTGCAGACCCAGGGTACGATTGGCCCAAGGTGTCCACAGCCGAGACCTGGCGGTGGGATAAAGTGCCAGAAGCAGGGTTCCTAGGCAGCAGGATATGCATCGACGGCTCAGGGTTCGACACGAACTCGCTGTATGCAGCACGTGCAGGTTGGGCTGTGGTTGCCATGGATCAGAGCAGTCGGTGCGAGGGTAGTGCTTTCGGACCCCTCCCTCATCCCGTCCAGGAATCTGGGGCAGGCGAGCTGTATGCGTTGCTGATGGCCCTCAAGCTCATGGGACCCTCGCAGTGCACCCAGATCTACACGGATTGCCAGGCCATCTTGGACGTGTGGGCCCGCGGGCCCGAGTCGGACATGTCTGAGGTCGCGTTCTCGGAGGTCTGGGAGCTAGTATGGGATCGTGTTCGTGATATAGGCTTAGGAATAATCTGCCTGCACAAAATTAAGAGTCACATGTCTTGGAACAGGTGTTTAGAGACCTCAGAGGCCCCCCACTGGGCCTGGGTCGGCAATGGCATTGCTGATGGTCTTGCTAAGCGCGGAGCGCTGGAGCACCCTTGCAATCCTAGCCTCCGTGCCCTCCAGAGACAGAGAAGCTCGGAGGTAGAGGCCTTCAGTAGGTTCATTGCGTGTTTTGGGGAGATGCTCAGTAAGCAGAATTTCCCAGATGTCCAGAAATGTAAGGCCCCCCCCAGCCCCAAGCATGACCCCTTAGTCTTGGTCTGTGATTTAAAGGGGCATGCTGTTCACAGGACGGGCTCAAAGGGGAAGGGGGCCTTCCTCTGTGTGAACTGTGGAGCCACGGGGTTTTCAGAGGCGTCGGTGTGCGCACTGCCGTGCTCGGGCCTCCCTAGGCTTGCCAGGCTCGCCCACTCCAGTCATAAGCTCTGGATTAGCGGCGGGCGTGTGGTTTTTTGTATTTCTTGCGCTGCTTTTGGGTCGGTCAAGCTGTGCCTATTGGGAGGTGCGTGCCCTGGCGCGCCTCCTAACAAGCCAGCGGAGAAGACCCTAAAGCAGCTGAAGGAGGGGAAGGATCCGTCCTCCAAATCCTTCGTGGGTCGGCCTTTCCCCCTCCACCGGTCGGGGCCCTAGCGGTGCGGTCGCGCGCCTGCTGGCCCTGGCCTCGTTTTTCGCGTCGCTCGCCGTTCGCCCGCCGCCCAGTTGTCTCGCCTGGAGGAGCTTGGCTGCGCAAGGATCGACAGGATCGACAGGAGGAGGAGGAGGAGGAGGAGGAGGAGGAGGAGGAGGAGGAGGAGGAGGAGGAGGAGGGGGAGGGAGGAGGGGGAAGGGAGGGGGGAGGGGGATGAGGAGGAGGGAGAGGAGGAGGAGGAGGAGGAGGAGGGGGAGCAGGAGGAGGATGACGAGGAGGACGAGGAGGACGAGGAGGAGGCGGCGCCTTTGACGGGCTCACGCGGTGGCACATGCGGCACACTTGCGCCGCACGCCTCCTGAGCAGTGGCGAGGGATATGTACAAGCAACAGGGAGAGAGAGAGAGAGAGAGAGAGAGAGAGAGGGAGAGCAATATATATATATATATATATAGAGAGAGAGAGAGAGAGAGAGAAGAAGCAGGGGTCTGTACAAGCAACAGGGATACAGAGAAAGAGAGAAAGAGACAGAGACGAGGGATCTGCAAAAGCAGCAGGGATTGAACGAGAGAGAGAGATTTCTATATATATATATATATATATATATGTATACATAGAAGCAAAAGAAGCAGCCGACCCCCCGAGACGTCCCACCGTCGGGATTTTTGTTGGACAGCGTGTCGCTCCGCCAGTTTTTGGCTCACCGCGCTTCGGCGCGACACGCTATCCATTTCTCATCCCCCTTGGCTGCAACGCCCCGAGCTGTTCCGTGCTCCTCGCCCCGCGGGGCGGAGCGACACGTTATATCCGTTTTTTTGCAGGGCAGGGCGTGCCGCCAGGGCCGCCAGGGCGACACGTTATAAGCAACGTGTGGCGACCTTGAGCTCGGCGAACACGACAACACAGGACAGGAGGATGAGGGAGGGCAGGAGTGAGGGAGCGGGAGGAGGGGAGGGAGAGGAGAGGAGGGAGGAGGGGTGGGCAGCATGGGGGGGGCGAGGGGTTCTCCTGGAGCGGGGTTCTTCACTGCTTGAAGTCCGTGGAGCTTGCGGCACCGATCGGCCTGCCTCCGGAGAGCGGGAGGGGGCCAGAGGAAACGAGGGGGAGCACAAAGGGGCGGCACGCTTAGGTACCGCGGGCATGGGCGATGCAGGGGCGGTTATTTCCTATTCGCTACTCTGCTCTCTCTCTCTCTCTCTCTCTCCCCCTCTCTCTCTCTCTCCCTCCCTAGATTCAGCCGATCGCAGGCATGGATCAAGGGGGCGTGGATTAGCGACGGGTCCCGTTTCCATGGGACATCGCGGATTTCCGCCGCCGAACGAGGCGGCACTGGCCGCATTATGGGGAGGGCGCCTCCCCCGATCCATGGATTTGGCGACCGCGCGCCAAATCCATGGATCGCTAATCCATGTTTGCACGCCCCCGATCTTTCTCTCTCTTTTTTTGTTTTCTCTCTCTCTCTCTCTCTCTCTCTCTCCCCCTAGATGCACGAGTTTGTTTTTTCTGCACTCTCTGCTACGGATCACGTCCCTCCTGCCCTCTGCTCTGGTTCGGGAGCCCTGGAGCCCAGCCGCCCGGAGGAGTCGGTAGGAAATTTGCCCAGGCTCGGAGCCGGGAACCCAGGAACCCAGCTGCCCACCAGAATCTGGCATGTGTTCGCCAAATCCTTGCAACAGTGAGGGCCCAAAGCCCAGTGCCAGGAACCAGGCCTCACAGCATCCGCAAGGACCCCTTGAATGCAAGGGTTGATCGGGGTAAAGTTCAAGGGCCTAACACACACACACACAGACACACACACACACACACACACACACACACACACACACACACACACACACACACACACACACACACACACACACACACACACACACACACACACACACGCCAACTGCTGCAAACGCGGTAGCGGATCTGGCCGTGGCCGTTTCGGTTCAGGCCACCGAGAAGGTGGAAGGCAGGAAAAACAAGCATCACAAAAGGCCCCCCCCGGGTTCAGAAGGTCTGCGGCAGCTATGCCCGACAAGTCGGACAACCCCATGCGCCAGATCAAGGTCGCAGAGTTCCCTCCCTTTGCTCTAGGCCTCCAGATAGGGATCGAATAGATGGGGTCGGTGGATTGCGCCGCATCGCCGGTGCATCGCCGATGCGACTTGATGCGGAGCCCGATTTTCTCCACGCCGACGTCGGCGATGCATCGTCGATACATCGGCAATGCATTGCCGATGCGGCGCGATCCTCGGACCCCATCTACTCCGACCCAATCTAGGAGGCCTCTAGTTGCCCTCCCTCCAAGCCCACCCCCTTTCCCGTCTCGTGCAGCCTCCCCCGTCAACATCCCCATCCTTGCCTCCTCCCCCCTCTCAGGTTGGACGACGTGAGGAGGCAGGGAACTGGGGGGGGGTGGGCGAGGGGAACCCGACGGCAAGAGAGCGGGACACGACAAACGAAGGGACGACACGCGACGCGGCGCCGGCCGCGGCGCCGCGGGCCGCCCCGAGGGCGCTCGCCGCGGCGTCGGGGCGGCGCGCGCTGACGCGGGCCCGCCTCCCCCCCACAGGAAACGCTCGCCGCGGGCGCGGGCTCTTGCCCGCCGGCTGGGGCGCTGGCGCCGGCCTCGCGAGCCGCTCCTGCGGGGCGGCGAGCGGAGACGAGCCGCCGCCAAGGTCGCCGAGGCCGGCCGCTCCGCGCCAGGCGCGGCCTGCTGCCCAGCGGCCGCGGCCTCGGCCGGCGCGCGCGGTGCGCCGCGGGCCGCCTCCCGCGGGGGGGGGCGCTCCTCGCCGCGGTGCCGCGCGGCGCAGGGTCGGCCGCCCCGGGGGCCCGTGCCGCCCCGCAGCCGCAGGGGCGGCGCTCCGCGCTGGGCGCCGCGGGGCGGCCGCCGCGAGGCGGGCAGGCTGGGCGCCAGCGGGGCAGCCAGCGTCTGCTCCGCGCGCGGTCTGGCTGGCGGCGCGCCGTCGTCGCTGCCCTGGTCCGCGTCCGCCCGAGCGCGCTGTGCGTCGAGCCGCCGGTGAGGGCCCAGGCGTCCAGGGCGTCGTGCGACGCCTGGAGGTCGCCGCCCTCGCTGTCAGCGCCTCCCGAGCCCGCCAAGCTGCGGGCCCTCTCCGCAAGGGCGCTGGCGCGCGCCGGCGCGCGCCGCCGCTGTCAGGTGTGGCCCGCCTTGTCCCTTCCCCAGCGGGCCAGGAAGGTTCCGCCTCCCAAGTGCTCCACCGCGGAGGAGCCCCAGCCCGCCTCCCGGAGGACTTCGTAGAGACCCTCCGCTGAGCCTCCTTCCTCCGCGTCGCCGGCCGGCTGGGCAGCCTGTCGCGGGGTGCTCCGCGCCAGTGCGGCGCTCGGGGCCGCTGCCGCCGCCGCCGCAGCCTCCGCTGCTGGAGTCGCTGGAGGGGCCGTCGCCGCTGCCGCCTTCTCCGTGGCCAAGCCTGGAGCGCGAGGAGCCTTGGCCGCGGGTGCGGCCTCTGCGGTCGGCTCCTTGCGCTCCTCCTCGCTCTCCGCGCTCTCCTCCTCGCCGCCGCTCTCCTCCTCCTCTCCCCCTCCTCCCTGGGAGGGGAGCCGTAGCGGCTTGCGGGGCTCGGATCCTTCCTGCCCTCCGAGCCGCCGCCTGGCGGCGCCCGGCCGCCCGCGGGGGTCCGCCCCTTCGGATGCAACTCCTGGGAGGTCAAATTCTGTTTTCGCCCTGGTCCGAAATCTGGCTCAATCTAACTTGATAGTCCCGCTTAGTCCGGCTTGATCCCGCGTAATGCCGCCCAGTCCCGCTCAGCCCTGCTTGCTCCGAGGCCCACTCCGGCGCGACAGCTCCCGACTGGGGCTGAATCCTCCTTTATCTATCCGACGAGAACCTCCCAGCAGTTGCCTCCTGACGCCCCTGGGCCGCTGTGCCCGTGGCCGCGCGCGGGGGCGTGGCTGACGCCCTGGGGCTGCGCTCGCGGCTCGCCGCGGGGGCGCGGCCCTGGCCCTCCTCCGCGGGGGAAGTGGGAGATGCTGCGGCGGCGAGGGCGGCCAGCAGCCGCGGCAGGATCTGCACAACTGGATCAAGCAGTGGCGAGGCGTCCTGGCTCGCCTATGGCCCTACCGAACAATGTCCTAAGAACCTTTTCGTGGTTCCCACGAAATGGTCTTAGAACAGTTCTGGCCGGGACTGTCTTGATTGAACACATCGGGGCTGTGTTCTAAGAACATTGCTTGTGTGATTGGAACATGTCTGGGCTCTAAGAACATTTCGTGGTAGGACCCTAGGAATGCCAGGACGGTTGGCCCCTGCTTAGCTGGAGGAGCATCCACGCTTCCTTCGAGTACTCCACTGCTCGCGTATGGAACAGACACCCTCTCACATGACATTTACACAGCGTTCGCACGAAACCTCAGCAGCGCGAGTCAGTACGCAGCTGTCGTGCGAAAGCACTGCAGTTTTCACACGACAGCCGAACAGCCCCAGTAAGGCTGGTGACGGCTTCTCAGTCGCCGAAGCGACACAATTCCCAGATGGAATGATGTAAACTAGTACCAATGTCAATCATGGCCCATGGCATTCATCTTGTCAGCCAGCAGAAGTATATTGCCATGTCTGAATCATGTTAGAAAGCTCCACGATCATAACCTCGTTTTGCGGCTTACGAGTGCTGGTTCTAATTGGTACCAGTCGGTGTTTCGGCAGGCGTTCCGGCTGGTTGCAAAGTGGTAATTACTGACGGTTGAAATTGGTACCAGTTGGTTGCGATTGGTCCGTCGCGCGGTTCGAACCCGCCCCCCCCCCCCTGTCTGCATCCAGTGGGGGTGGAGGGAAGTTTCGACCCCCTCTATCTCCTCAGCTTCCACAGAACGCGTTCTTCTCTCGGAGTTCATCGGCCCCTCCCCCAGTTTTCAGTCTCTCGTCCCGAGTGTAGTTCCTTGACTGTTCCCAGGGCCTCGCGAGGGCCCCCGGACGCCGAAAAAGTTGACAGCTACCGTCCGTCGTGATTTTCAACCTCCTCCTCCCCGTCCTCCTCCTCCTCCTCCTCCTCCTCCTCCACCTCCTCCTCCTCCTCCTCCTCGTCCTCCTCCGAACGAAAGGAGGGGATAGGGAAAGAGGGGGGTACGAAATCTGCGGCATGCAGCCGGTTTCGGCCCCGCCGCCGGGCCCGTTCCTCGACACATGGGCGCCTCCCGGCGCCGGGAGGCGCTGGGAAAGTCAGGTGCGTGAGCTGATTATCTACCCTACCCTTTGCTATCCCCCCTTTTCGTTCCCCCCGATACTCCTCCTGCCCCCGCTTGGAAGCGCCGGGAGGTCGAGAAGCTCACCCTGAACATCAGCGTCGGCGAGAGCGGGGACCGCCTCACGCGCGCGGCGAAGGCTCGGCGGCGCGCAGGAAAGGGAGCGGGAGGGGCGGTGCGGCCCTCTATCAAGCCAGCTGTCGCCCGCCCCCACCCCGCCTTTGTACCCTTGCACTCAAGCAGTGGCGAAACGTCCTGGCTCGCTGATAGAGCTACCAAACAAGGTTCTAAGAACCTTCAGTGGTTTCCGCGAAATGTTCTTAGAACATTTCTGGCTGGGACTGTTTTGTTTTAACACGTCGGGTTTCTGTTCTAAGAACATTGTTTTGGTTCTTAGAACATTTTTGGGTTCTCAGAACATTTCGTGGTAGGGCTATAGGAATGCCGGGACGGTCGGCCCCTGCGCAAGGGACGGGCGGTGCGGCCTTTTGCACCCCGCCTTTGTACCCTCACACCCGACGGTGCATTCTTGTGCGCAGCGTCGGATCTCGAGGCAGAATGCCGCCCCTCCTTCGCCCTGGCCCCGACCGAATCCGCTCCACGCGCGTCGCCGTGGTCTCAAGAGGGCTCACAGCAGGACCAACCGTGGTACAGTGACCGACCGTTATCTGCCAGGGCTCGCCCTCCCAGCGTCGTGGCCTCGACATTGTCGAGCCACGATTGTCATTGTAGTCCGCTTGCTATGGTTGGTCCTTCCCCCACTGACGCCCAGTCGGATGGTCACGCTGAAAAGAGCCTGTCGTAAGTCCGATTCTGCGCGCGGTTTCGCGAGGTGCTGGAGCAGCTCACGGAGCAGCAGCCCGTCTTCTCCAAGTGCCGCATGACCATCCGGTCTTTCGGCGTGCGCCGGAACGAGAAGATCGCGTGCCACGTGACCGTGCGGGGCGAGAAGGCACGTGGAGCTCGTGTTTCCACCTCACTTCGTAATCTCTTATCTCATCTCCTCGTCCCCCCCCGTCCTCCTCTTCGTTTCCTCCCCGTCCTTCCTTTCCCCTTTTCCCCCTCCTCCCGTTCCACCTCCTCCTCCTCCTCCTCCTCCTCCTTCTCCTCCTCCTCCGCATCCTTCTGTAGCCATTTTGGCTCAAGATGTTTTGTTCCACAGCGGAACTCGTGGATACCGCTAGTCCGCGGTTAGACCTAGTCTTGATCGGGTCACAAGCGTGTGTTGACTGCTCTTCCCTCCGTTGCCTTGTCTGGCGACAGTGAACTGTGGAGTTCCCAGTTCCTGCGCTTGACAAGACGGATGCCCGACATATTGAAAAAGGCAAGAAGGGCAAGACAGATGGCAAGGATGAGTTCTCTACCCCGAGGAAGGCGCGGAAAAAATGAGGGTGTCGAGTCGTCAGCTGATTCAGCATCACGCGCGCCTCCGTGATCCCCTCCTCTGTTGATCCGTCGTGCGTCTGCGGCGTCTGGCTCCCGTCGTGATGATGCTCGGCGTTTTCGGCCTGATGCAGTTGGTGATCCGATCTCTAGCATCGGCAAGGTCGACGAGAGTATCCTCATGGACCTGGACGTCGCCAGCACCTTTTCATACGACGAAGTTCGCGGCACACCGACTCCCGATGTTGCCGCTGATGTCGACAGAGTCCCTCGTGCTGCGCGGTCGAAACGTGCGGAGCAGGTACCGCATGCTCTGCTGCCTCCTCCCAGCCGACCCCCGCAGCCCGCGCCTTGGCCAATGCCTCCTGCCGCAGCTGCGATCAGCGGAGGCATGTCACGCCAAACCATTGGAGAGGAGAACCCGTAGATACGTAAATCGAACGCCCAGATGGTACGTGAAGCACAAGTTCCGGATTTCAAGGCCTTCAAGTCCACATGTGTGCATGAGATTGGTCAGAGTGTCTCGGAGGCTGTCCAACATATCCTCCCAACTGCCATCACGACCATCTCGGGACCGGTTCTCGCTCGTCTGGGAACGAACATGGAGGCACGCTTCGATATCATCATGACGCAGGTGGTCGCCAACGAGACACGCGTCGAGAATCTGGAGAATGCGAGTGCGGCCCTACTGGCTCGACTTGGAAGGGCGCAGCAAGTCTTCGGTGTCGCTCGGTCAGACCCGAATATACCAGTGGCGAGATCGGCAGATTGGGACAGACCCTTGGATCAGCTTGTTTTCGTCACCATTCCGAAGGAGCCCATCGCGGTCTCTGCCCTTGCGGTCGCGTTGGGCCCTTTGTTGGAGGCCTGCGGGTGTCGCCGTGGAAAAGAGGGCATATTTGAAGGACCGCAGTTGGCTTGGTCGTTCACACTCAGGTCCACGGTCGGAGAAGAGGAGACCAGGCTTCCATCTGAAGCCCGTGCTCGGCACGCGCATTCTCTCGTTCGTACAGGGCCAGGGCTGCGGCGTCGCTTCAAGACTGTTATGCCAGGCGGCGGAGTGGCGGAGATCTTTGTGGGGAGAGGTGGAGATCTTTCTGGGGCTCGACGAGAACAAAAAGGATGCCGCGCGCGACGGGGCGTGCGGATGTGCTCGTGGACCGTGAGGCGGGCACACTGCTGCTCAACTGGCAACCCCTCGGGGAGGTCGACGTGCACCCGTCCGACCCTGTCCGTGCTCGCTGGGCCTTGACGAGCTTCGCGGACGTGCAGATCGAGCGTGCGCGTGCGGCTGCCGTGGTGGATCGCATCTCCGGAGGAACTACGGTATCGTGGAGTGGGTAACGGTCGCCTTGAAGGTGAGCCCGTTGTCTTCTTTTCGAGCTGGAATGCGAGGTCCCCCCTGTCGTAATCGTGGCATGAGGCGTCCTCGGGAGATCGAGATGTTCGCGCAGTTGGCTGGTATGCACGACGGAGGTTCGTACTCGATCATCGTGCCGCAGGAGACGCGTGGGAATCATGCTGCAGTGGCACAGTTCGCGCAGCATTCCCCACGGGATTTTCGCTTCTCGTCCCCCTTCCGAATTCGTTTACAGGTGGCGCCGCCACCCTCGCCCTCCCCCGCTCCGAATATCACAGTCCAGGCCCAGGAAATTGTCCCTGGGCGCGTTCTGCTTACCACGATTACAATTTATGTTTTTAAGCTTTGCCAGTGGCATTGGAACGTGCACAATCGTAATTCCACGTGTTCGGATTCATGAACTATTCAGGATAAGGCTGTAATCGGCCCTCTTGGCTCCATAGTCACCCCGTGGAGTTCGGGCTTGCTTTCGTAGGGGATGTCACCATGTCGGAAAAAGGAGCATGAGCCGGGCATCCGTGCCTTTCGATGGCGCCTGGGGGCGCACAGGTGATGCGTCTGGAGGTCCACCTGGCGCAAGCTCACCCAGCTTGCTGGTACACCTTAGGCGATGCTTAAGAAAACCCAAGTTTTCGGCCAGAGTCTCGATTATTCTTAATGTTTCAATGTAAATCCTAAGATTTCAATGGAAATTCTGGGTTTGTAATCAAGTTCTGAGACTATGAATTTCTTAACCCATGATTCCTTAAGCATTTCGCAGGGTGTACAACGCCCCACTTGTTTCCAGCAGTGATGGGATTGGTAGAGTGTCCGTTGTCATGGCATCCACAGCCTCAGCGTGCACCGAGCGGATCTGGGCCGAACCGGGCACGCGGGGCCACCCTCCGCGCGCGGGGCGCGCGCGCGCCATCTTTTTTCGCGGGCGCGCGTCGTCCACTCGCGCGCGCGGGGAAATCTGCAGCTCCACCATGGAGAGTGTCGAGATGTTGCTCTGGGGCCCCCAGTCAACAAACACCCTTGGCGCGCATCGATCGGACTCCGAACTCACTGCGCGGTTTTCGCCGCATGTCCACGCTGTGGTGCAACGCACCAGTGGCGTGCCGCTGCGAGCTCAGCGAGCGTCCGGCCGTCGTCTTCGCGCGATGGTTTGCTGCGGAACGTTGTACGTATCCCAATGCATTGCGTCTCGTCCCTGTGCCTATCTCATTGCAGGTTCCCAGGTTAGAGAGGGTTTAGGGTGAGGCGACCCTCGGTGCTTGACGGCGCTTGGTGGCGCCCATGCACGGTCGCGATGGGGGCGCGCCAAGACGCGCCAATGTTGCGTCCCCTTGCCTCCCAACGATCTTACCCAGCGAAGACCGCCATGAGGCCTCAGACCCTCCGAAGCTCTCATCGACGGTGCCGCGGGTGCAAATCCCCGCGCGCCTGACACCGTACTCCAGATTTTGTAATAAAGGGAGGGGGGTCTCATTTCGGGGGGGGGGTCTCTTCCAGGCTATCTTGGAGGGCCTGGGGGGGTCTGGGGACGATGTTTTGGAGGGTTCTCCCACGGGGGAGGTCTGAAATGGCTTGTCTTGGAGGGTCCAGACCCCCTCCCTTTTATTACGAAATCTGGAGTACGTGCAGTGCCGGGGGTGGCGGTCAACTTTCCCATCTCACCATCACAGGGGGATGCGAAGTCCCTGAAGACGGGTCGTGGTGGGCACGAGTGGGCATCGCAGCTGGCTCAACACCAAGAGAGGCGCCATCGCCTCGCAGCTCATCTTGCCATGGACTTCGTTCCATGCGTAGCATGCTCTCCCCTTACCCCTTCCATCGGGGGGGCAAGCGTTGCGTTCGAAGAGAGGAGGGGCAGGACAATGAGATGTTGTGCTCCTCTTCCTGCGCGTTTGGGCGTGCGGCCCAGCATCGGCGGCGAGCGCGGGGGGGGGGGGCGTGTGAGAGGGGGCGGGCCTTTTTTAGAAGGCTCGGGAGTCCCCAGGCCTTTCAAACAGTTTCCCAAGCCTTCCCCGGAGGCGCGGACAACTCTTCAGAAAGGCGCGAGGGCTTCTAAGAATTCCCGCCGCTGCCTTCTGAGAAGGCCTTCCCCTTTTCACTTTCCCGCGCTGCCCGCCCCCACGGAAGCTCCAACAGCGGCGCCACGCGCGCTGCCGAGCACGGCTGCGTCCCAAGAGTAGGACCTGGGGCGAGGAGGGGGGAGAGGGCCAGCAGGCGGCGGGGCTTGTCGGAAGCCCCCGCGCCCTCTGAGAGGCTTCCTGCGTCTTCGGGGAAGGCTCAGAGCACCTCTCAGAAGGCCGGGGGGCTTCCGATCCTTCTGAGGAGGCCCGCCCCTTCTCACCTCCCCCCCTCGCTCGCGGCCGACAAACGCACCCGCGCACACACACAGAGAGAGAGAGAGAACACACACACAGAGAACACACACAGAACACACACACACAGAACACACACAGAACACACACACACACACACACACACGCGACAGGAGCGAACGCCATCCGAGACCCGGGGGGGGATCTCGGAGGGCGCGCGCCCCACCTCCGCGGGGACGGCCCGGCCCCCGAGAGCCCGAGCCCAGGAGCCGAACCCCGACGGCCCCCTGGGACACGAACGCTCCCAGAGCCAGGGGCGGCCCAGGGAGCCCAGGAGCCCCCCCCCCAAACCCCAGAGGTGCGCAGGAGCCGGCGGGCCTCCTCCTCCTCCTCCTCCTCCTCCTCCTCCTCCTCCTCCTCCTCCTCCTCCTCCTCCTGCTCCGACACGTAGCGAGCCAGCTGCCCAAAGGCCCAGGCTCGGCCAGTGCGTCGAAGCGTGTTCGATCGGTGGGGGCTGTCCGCGACCCTCGCACGAGTCCGCCGGGCGGTGCACGTGGGGCTCGCCGCGAGGCCTCCGCATCCGTCCGCGCTGCCACCAGCGCCGGTCCCAGGCGCCAAAGGCACTCAGCTCCTGCTCGAGGCGCTCGGTGAGCATGCTGTGCACGCTGAGCTGCCGGCATCGACCGATCGGGTCCGCGAGCTCCTCGATGACCTTCAGTGTGTCGTAGGGTGGTCTCGCCTGTTCGATCCGCCATGAGAAGGAGGAGGAGGAGCAGGAGGAGGAGGAGGAGGAGGAGGAGTAGAAATAGGAGGAGGAGGAGGAGGAGGAGGAGGAGAGGAGGAGGAGGAGGAGGAGGGAGGAGAAGCCACGGAGGAGGAGGAGGAGGAGGAGGAGGAGGAGGAGCAGGATCTGGAGGGAGGAGGGGAAACAGTAGGATGCGGAGAAGCAGCAAAGAGGAGGGGGAGAGGGAGGGAGGACGTGGAGGAGCAGGGGGACCCCCGCCGTCCACAGGGGGGCCAACGTCAACAGCGTCGAGACCACCCTTGGCGTCCCCCTTAACGGGCGTTTGACAGACAGTCCATGGCGTCCACTGACCCCGTGGAAGAACTACGGCCGAAGGCTTCTGGCAGCTCTCGGCCCCTCGGGGCCGCCGCTGGGCCCCGGGGCCCTCAACAGAGTAACCCGGGATGAACAACCGGCCCTCCCCATCCCCCTCCTCTTTCTCATTCTCCTCTTCCTTCTCCTCGTCCTCCTCCTCCTCCTCTTCCTCTTCCTCCTTCTCCTCGTCCTCGTCGTCCTCCTCCTCCTCCTCCTCCACGGAAGGAGGAGGAAGAGGAAGAAGAGGAGGAGGAGGCGGAGGAGGAGGGGACCTCCAGGGACCGCGCATTGCAAAATAGATGTCTCGGGAGCAGTCCTGCCCTGGTTGACTCCCTCCTTCGGTGCGTTTACCAGACGGGCCTCGCTGACAGGGGTGCTTGTTGCACATCGAGGATGGACATCCCGTCCTCCACCACGGAGGCTTCTCCAGGGCTCACCACTGCCGCGCTTGGGCAGTCGGGCGGACTTGCTGCTACATCGCTCGAGAGCCTTCGGGAACGCCCAGGGCGTTCCGGAGCGCTCCAACGCGGCCGAGGCGCTCGACACATCCTCCAGGACCGCTGGATCTTAGAGCTCCTCGACCTATCAGTCGGATAGTGCCCCAGACCAGGTCTCTTCCCAGACAGGGTCCGCCAGGCACCGTCAGGGGCAACATTGAGGGGATGGGCATAGGGGGGATGCATCGACCCCCCAGTCGCCCATTGCTCGCCGACAGGGGTCCTGATAGCCCCATATCGCTTAGGAAGGTGCGGATTCGCTATCACTTGGTATCGCTCGGACGTGTGCACTTTTTCTCGGCGGGGATTATTCAGGAGCATCCTGGATCATCCTGCGAAAAACCACGCACGAAACCGAACAAAACACAGGGAATGGACGTCCGAGCGATGGCCAGATCATCGGAGATGTATCGCCGATTCCAGGTCGATGCTTCCCCCCCTGTGCCAGTCCCCCCGTATCGCTGCCCTCACACGCATCCTTGTCCTCCTCGTGCCCCCCGTCCCGTACGCTCCGAGCCGCCGGCCGGGGGCGCCCGTTTGGCAGAGCGGCGCGGACAGGCGGAGGAGATTCTCGAGAAGGGCCTGAAGGTCAAGGAGTACGAGCTGGTGAAGCGGAACTTTGCCAAGAACGGGAGCTTCGGCTTCGGCATCACGGAGCACATTGACCTGGGCATCAAGTACGACCCGAGCACCGGCATCTACGGCATGGACTTCTACGTGCACTTGTCGCGCCCTGGCAACCGTGTGATGTTCCGCAAGCTGAAGCGCGGCAAGGTCGGCTTCGCCCACCGACTCAAGAAGGACGACGGCATGAAGTGGTTCCAGACCAAGTTCGACGGCATCATCCTGAACAAGTAACTGAGCAGGCTTCCCTTGGCACAGGGGGCTTGAGGTGTCCTGCGAAAATTGAAGGGCAGGAGCAGAGGGCGTAAGGCAGGACAGGTTCAAGCGAACAAGTGTGGCCGCCGCGGTAGCCCACTGGTCTTGCCGCCCGTAACGCACGCCACGACGTCCCTGGCGATGCCGGGGTGGCCCGGTGATTCAGAGGTCCAGGAACCCAGGTGGAAACGGACATTGAGTCTTCCTGACTTCCCGAGGCGGTAACTACATGGAGCGTTGTCATCGCTTCCACGGCGGAACGGCGGCGGAACGGCGGCGGAAGTATAACGAGGCCACCTCCGCCGGCGGAAGCCGGCGGAAGGCAGCGGAAGTAAAAGACTCGCCCCCAAGAGATGAAAACGTTTCTAGGTTCAGGGTTTCCGAAATCCGCCACACGTTGGCCAGAGGTCTGGACCGCTAGGGAGTCGAGAACCTTACGGGGAGGCTGGAAACGCATATGCGGGCCGGGCCCGGTTGTGTTGCATGCTTTGGGCTTCCAGCAGTATCTCTTTCGCCGGGCCGCGTCAAACTTGAAAAAGTGGAGCGCAAGCCCTCTGAGAAACTATCTGCTTGCGTTTCTTTCCCAGTGCCCATCACTTTTCGGTTGTCGTTGGGAATTGCGTCTTTCGCAGCGGACGTCGCCAGACCGATTGTGGGCTTCTTGCCAACAAAAAACCAAGACCGTATGGGGACCCCAAGTTGGGGTCCTCATACGGTCTTGGATTTTTTGGGGGACGGGGCATGGGCTCTCCCCTTGTCTTTTTTTTTTGCAGGCAAGCCTGAGCGTGACGTTCCCGACTCTAGCCATCATGGCCGCGTGGATGTCAGCCCCTCGTGCTTCCAGCCTCCCCGCGCGCCAAAGGCATGTAGGGCGTCCCCCAAAGGGCCTCCCCATCCGACACAGCGAGCGGTGGACCTGTCTCGGGCCGGACGAAAGGGGGGGATTGGGAAAGGGGGGGTTACGAAATTTACTGCACGCAGCTGGTTTCGGCCCCACCGAGGGGCCCCTTCCTCGATACATGGGCGCCTCCGGCGCCGGGGGGCGCCGGGAAAATCAGCTACGGTATGTTCGCGTCGTGTCGACCGGCGGCGACCCCGCAGCCGACGTTCAACGTTGAACGCCGACGGCGGCCCAGAATCGGTCGATGTTGAACGATCGGACGTTGCGGAGACGGCCGATCGTTCAAGGTTGAACGATCCAGCGCGGTGTCGGGAACCAACGCCGGGGTCGACACGACACGAACCTGCAGTACGCGAGCTGATTCTCACCCCCCCCCTTTGCTATCCCCCCCTTTCGCCCGACCCGAATATAGGGCGACCCCCAAACGGGCCTCCCCGTCCGACGCAGCGAGCGGTGGGCCTGTCGCCCTCGGCAGAAGGCGGCGGACGTGAAGCGAGGGCAGGTCCGCCAGCGGAAGCCACCGGAGGAGTGGCGGACGCTGGCGGAAGCGAAGGTGAATGAGTCTTCCCTCGTCTCCTTCCCCATCTCCACCTCTTCTCCTTCTTCCCCTCCTCTCTCTCCATCCCTTTCTCCTTCTTCTCCTTCCCCTGCTTCCCCTTCTCTCTCTACATCCCCATCTCTTCTCCAACTCCATCTCTTCTCCTTCTCCCCCTTCTCCTTTTCCATCCCTTTCTCCTTGTTCCCCTTGTCCTTCTCATTCTTCCCCTTTTCTTTCTCTATTTCCATCTCTTCTCCACATCCATCTCCTTCTTCCCCCTTCGCCTTCTCCAGCCTTGTTCCTTATCAAGTTCCTCCGTGTCGCACCCCGAAACGTGTCGGTAGGGCGGGCCGGGCGCGGGCCGGGCGT